GGCTCATCCAGTGCCAGATCTTGCTGGGCACCTGCCAGCTGCTAAGGTTTCTGAGGCCATGGCTGAGGCTGGGAGGGAGTGGAACAAGAGGAAGCAAATTAGCGGCCAGACACAGTTTAACCAAGGGCTTCTTGACCCTCCTGGGGCCAGTGGGGATTGGGCCCGGCTCCAGGCCTAGCCCTGAGCCTGTGGCCTCCCTCCCTCTCCCAGGCCCATCTTCCCTTGGCCTCAGTGACACGGCACTGACCTGCTCCTCCTCTTACTGCTCTGGCTGCCGCCCTGCAGTTCCATTCCTGGACATCTCCTCTTCCCTCCTTTAACTGATGGCTCCATCTTAAAGAGAGTAGAAGTGACCTCACCCACCCTGTGACCTAGAGGCCCAAACATGAAGCTGGTAAGTCCCAAATCTGTGTCTCCAGCCCTCTGTCAACCCTGGGAGACAGGATTTGGTTTCATTAAAGAGCTGTCAAGTTCCTCTGCCTTGATGTGAGTGTGGGGTCAGGTGGCTTGGCTAACCTGGGTAGAGGGAGCATTTCCAGAGGTCAGAGCACAGTCTCCACGGAAACCAGGGCAATGCTCTGCATACCGAGGGACAGTGGGGGGACCCACTGAGATAGGCGGAGTGCTGAGGGGAGGACACTGGGGTGCCCTTAGGGCCTCCAGGTCCAAACCCACCCACACTTCCCCAACTCCTAGAGGAGCTCAGCCTGCAGGGAGCAGACAGGGCTCCCTCCCTCCTGCACATGCTGTGCCTCCGCCACCCCTCCTGGGCCTCAGGAAGGCGGCTGGGGGTCCTAGGGCTATGGCTGGAGCTGCAAGAGCAGTCCTGGCGCTGAGAGGAGGCCACAGGGACACCAAGGCTGGGGCTGCCAGTGCCACTTAGCACTCTCACCCCCACACCTCTGCAGCTTCTCACCGTGGGACCCTGGGTTTCTGCCCTGGGGTTTCCTCGGGCCTTTGGAGCATACTTGGCCAGAAAGTTCGAGGATCAGCCTTCAACCCCTGACACCTGGAGCTGGTAACCAAATGCTGCGGCTTCCTTGCCCTTTTGGGTGTGACCTCCCTGCAGCTGGTTCTGCGCAGCCACCCACAGGTTCCCCCTCGGACTGACCCACAGTGAGGACCTGCTCGGCAGCCACCGTGGCTCACCTCTTTTCCCTGAATCACCTCTGAAATAAATGATTTGCACTTGAATCTTTGCCTTAGGATCGGCTTCCGGAGGGACCCAAACCGAGAACCCTCTCTCTCCCTCACATTCATATCCAATCTGCCTGATTTTGCTGATTCTACCTCCTTAAAAAGCCCTCAAGGCCAGGTGTGGTGGCTCACGCCTGTAATGCACCACTCTGGGAAGCTGAGGTGGGAGGGTAGCTTGAGCCCAGGAGTTAAAACCAGCTTGGGCAACATGGTGAAATCCCATCTTTACCCCACCACACACACAAAAATAGCCAGGCATGGCGGCATGCGTCTGTAGTCCCAGTTGCTTCTCAAGAGGCTGAGGTGGGAGGCTTACTGGAGCCCAGGAGGCAGAGGTTGCAGTGAGCTCCAGCCTGGGCAACAGAGTCAGACCCCATCTCAAAAAAAAAAGAAAAAGTTCTCAAATCCACCTTCCAATCATCTCCCATATATCACCCCTGCTCCATCCCCACTGCCCTGGTCACCTGCCTGGACTACTCGTCATTGACCCCCTGCCTCTGCACAGCAGCCAGCACAAGTCAGCTTTCTAAAACACAACTCTGGGCATGTCCCCACCTCCAACCCCGCTTAGACCTTTCCATGGCTCCCACTGCCCTCAGGATAAGCCAAGCTTCCCAGCCTGGCATCAAGATCCCGAGAGGACTGGCTCCTGCCCTCACTACAGCTCTCCTATCCCACTCTGCTCTTCCTCTGGACTCTCCAGTAGGACTGAGCTTCATGAGGTTCTCAGAGTTGTCCATGTTCAATCCTACCTCTTGGTCTTCGCGAGCTGTCCCTCTTGTAAACAGGAACATCTTGATCCTACTTTACCCAAACAACTCTAGTTGTTTTGAACCCAGCCTAAGACACAACCTGTGCCTTAACACCCCTGTTCTCCCTGTTCTCAGACTGCAGACTGGGCTGGGAGCCTCTCAGAGCTCCTATGTGTCTTCATGTCTCTGTCCCAATGCCCACCACGTTCCGGTCTGTTCTCCACACTGGGCATTTCTGAAGGACACTAGCCATGAACAACTCATCTTTTTTGCTTCCCTGGGCCTGGGCACATAGCAGGTGTCAGAGAATAAACAAGTGATCATGATGTCTTTAACTCTCCAAAGAGTGATGCCTCCTGACTCCCCAATTCCCTAGCACACTCTGCAAAGACAAAGAGGATGGGCAGGGGCAGCACAGGAAGGAGGCACCTGCCTTCTGAAGCCTTCTCAGAAGGCCCCACCCTGCCAGACAGGGCTGAGGCCTCCTCTGGGCTCACATCTTTCACTCTCCAGACCTCCCAATGAGTTTGTCACTGCTGCATTTTCTTCTAATAATAAATAGGCTTTTCTAGATCTCTCAGGCTCAACTACTTTCTTCTCAGGCCTTCCCACTTTCTTAGAAGACAATTACACTTAATAATGAAGGGAAGAGGCCAGGCATGATGGCTAACACCTGTAATCCCAGCACTTTAGGAGACTGAAGCAGGCGGATCATCTGAGGTCAGGAGTGAAAAGATGTTCAACCTCACTACCAGCCAGGGAAATTTTAATTCAAACCAAATGAAATGATACTATTTCATGCATATCTAATGAGCAAAATTTTTAAAGTTCGATCATCAGTTTGGTTGAAACCAATTCCATTCCTCCATTGCCCTAGACACATTTCTGCATGTGGCCAGAGACCAGCCTGGCCAACATGGCAAAACCCCGCCTCTACTAAAAACACAAAAATTAGCCAGGTATGGTGGTGGGTGCCTGTAATCCCAGCTACTTGGGAGGCTGAGGTAGGATAATCGCTTGAACCTGGGAGGCGGAGGTTGCAGTGAGCTGAGATCATTCACTCCAGCCTGGGCAACAGAGCGAGACTCCATCTCAAAAAAAAAAGAAGGGAAGAGGAAGATAGTAATGATTGTGCATCAGATACATTAAAGGACATGGACATGAGAGCGACCCTAGCCTATGGAGAGAACAGCTCGGGAATGACCGCAATCTGCTCCTGTAGCACCTCACCCAGACTCATGCTGGTGACACACGATTCGTTCTGTCAGATTTTCTGTAACATTTCTGCAAGTCATTATAATGAATATTGACTGACTGAGAGTTCAGATAACAATAATATTGGAATAATAACTTATTTCTCCGCTTTCCTGTTGATGGACGTTTTGATTGTTCCCAATGTCTTGGTATAAGATACAACGCTGTGATGTACATGTGCAGGTGTTTCTCCTGGGTATATGCCTTGAAGTGGAATGGTTCAGTTTTAGACTGTGCATTTTCACCTTTACTAGATATTGACAGATTGTTCTTCAACTTAGTTGTGTTCAACTTCTAGTCCCACCAGCAGTATGTAAAAATTCCTGTCAATTCAAACAAAGTTGGTTTGGTTTCGACCAAATAATTGGTTTCAGCGTTTGCTGAATAACCAATTATTGGTTGAAGCCAAACCAATTTTGTTTGAATTGAGCAGAATCAGCAGAATCAGGAGTGCTTCTGTGTGTGACAAAACACAGCATATTCAGTGTCAGATAATGAAGTAGTCAGTATTTTAAGAGCTTTAGAACTTCCTGTGATGATGGAAATGTCTGTGCCTGCTGTCCATAGGGTAGTCTCTGGCCACATGCAGAAATGTGTCTAGGGCAATGGAGGAATGGAATTGGTTTCAACCAAACTGATTATCAAACTTTAAAATTTTTGCTAATTAGATATACATGAAATAGTATCATTTCATTTGGTTTGAATTAAAATTTCCCTGGCTGGTAGTGAGGTCGAACATCTTTTCATATGAGTATTGGCCATAATTGCTTTCTTTTCTGTAAAATGTCTGTTCATGTCTTTTGATCATTTTTCTGTTAAAGTGTTTAGCTTTTTCCTATTGACGTGTAGGAGTTTTGTTGTTGTTGTTGTTTGTTTTTTTGAGATAGAGTCTCGCTCTGTCGCCCAGGCTGGAGTGCAGTGGTGTGATCTCAGCTCACTGCAACCTCCACCTCCCAGGTTCAAGTGATTCTCCTGCCTCAGCCTCCTGAGTAGCTGGGATTACAGGCACGTGCCACCATGCTCGGCTAATTTTTGTAGTTACAGTAGAGACGGGGTTTCACCATATTGGTCAAGCTGGTCTTGAGCTCCTGACCTCGTGATCCCCCTCCCTCAGCCTCCCAAAGCGCTGGGATTACAGGCGTGAGCCACCACACCCAGCCTTAGAAGTTATTTTTGTATGCTGGGTAATAATCCTTTGTTACATGTGTTGCAATAATCTCTCAGTCTGTAGTCTGTCTTTTTGCTTTTTTCTTTTTTAGTGTTTTTGTATAAACAGAACTTTATTACACCGAGCTTATTAACATTTTCTTTCATAATTTTCTTTGTTGTTGTTGTTGTTGTTGTTTAAAAAGTTATTTCTATCCTGGCAGATAGAAATTCAACATTTGCTGAATAAAAGGAGAATAAAGAGAACAAGTGCCTTCCCCAGGGAGAATGTGCAGAGTGAGAAAGAAGCCGGTGGGACAGAGCCTGGGGAGGGCAGAGACAGAGCTATCCGACAGAGATCGGTGCCTTTAAGGGCCCCTTCAGCTCTGATGCTCCATACACACATACTAATGCAAAGAAGGAAACTGAGGCCAGGGAAAGATAAAGTCTCGAAGGATTCTGGACTGGAGTCCACCGGTCCCCAGGCTCCAGACCAGGAGCAGTCCCTTGAGGCCTGCAGCCTCTTCCAGACATCACCTCCCCCTCATCCCCCGGGGGCGGGCAGCCGAGGCCAGTCCAGGATGGGCGGGACTCCAACGCGGGGTGCCGAGGCCGCCTGGCCATAGCCCCACCCCGCCTCTTTGCTCTCAGTCTGCCTGGTGTCAGGGACGCTGGGGCCGGAGCTGCTACCGCCCGCCGCTGTCTACACTGTCCTCTCGTTTGGCGTTTGGCGGGTTCGCCTCCCAGCAGCACCCGGGCGGGCGAGCGACTTCTGGGCCGAGACAGCTGGTGCTGAGCGGCCGCAGGTGAGCGGGAGCGAGAGGGGTGGCGGGGGATGGAAGGGGTAAAGTGTGCCGGGGCGCGGGGGTGCGGAGCAGGCCTGCCCACTCCAGGGTCGCGGCCGGTCAGGGCAGGTGCCGGGGGTGAGTCCCTCTACGTGTGTGTAGCGTGGGCAATGTGTCAATGATGACTGTGACCGCGATCTGCACTCCAGCCTGGGCGACGGAGCAAGAGTCTGTCTCGCCAAAAAAAAATTACTGTGAGCACATTGGGTTAGTGGGTTGTATGCGGTTAGTGTGCAGTATGTGCAAGTGTGACCCATGGATTGTGGTGTTTGTCTGCCTGCAAGAAGGGTGCACAGCACCTCTCTATAGCTCTGAGTGACTGTGCTGGGCTAACACAGGAGTCCACAGTGCATGTGCACTTTGTGTCAGGAGCCGTGGCAGGATGGTGCACTGGGTGTGCTTTGCGTGAATTGTGAGATGTGAGTTTTGTGTGGCATATCCGTGGCCCCTGTGGTGTGCTGAGCCAGGTGATGGAAGGTGGGGCACATTTGTGCAGGGGTGACACTGACAGAATGTGTTCTGTGGCCCGAGGGTGGCTCTGCCTTTTCCACCCAGTGCTCCGGAGGGCTTGGGAGAGTGCAAGCTCACCCGGATCTGGGTGGAGGAAGTATGACAGGTCCCAGGCTCACCCTGTCACACACACAAACACACGCACACACAAGAGAAGCTGCTCCAAAGTCTCGTTTTTTTTTTTTTTTAATCTTCCAAAATTCCTTTGGATTTTGCATTCTTCTATAATATTTCTGTATTGGTTTTAATGTAAAAATACTGTTCTGATAAATTCCCATCCACTGAGTTGGCTCAAGGCTTGGAGGTAAATTGGGTTTATCTTGGGGTGAGAATCCCCTGCCTGTCTCCCAAACTGAGATGCAAGGACTTGGGCTCGGCAGGAGTGAGGCTGTGATGCTGGGTACATGCTGTGTGCTGGGAGGTTGGCGGGGGGAAGGTTGTCTTGGCCACTTCTAGGGCAGGGGCAGGAAAGCTGGGCTTCTGAGGAGGAACCCTGACCATCAGTGAGGTTCTTGCTTTTTCTCCACTGCCTGGGCAGGAAGAGGCTGCAGAACCCTGAGGACCATGAATAAGAGGGTTCCCCTAGCAGGCTGCCTCCTGGGACAGTTTGGTGGTTGTGTCATCCAAGCTTGGTTCAAATTTGTTTTAGGCAAATGCAGAAATATTAGAGAGGCTTGCGAAAGGGCTCTGGCACTTTATCTGCAGGACTTTGGGCAAAACCTCACTGTGCCTCAGTTTCTTCCTTTGTAAAGTGGAGATGTGGATAGTATTTGCCTCATAGGTTATTTTTAGGACTCACTGAGTACCTGGACATAAAGTGGCACAATCTCTGATACACATCCTAACAGCTGGTGACAAAACTATGACGATAGTGATGTCAACCACCACACGACTGGGTCCCTGCCCACCCCAGGAACTCTCAGTTTTCACAGAGCCAATGATTCCAATAAGCTGTGTGGGTGGGAATCTGAGAGCCCCTATTTGAGTATGTCTGGGAGATCCATTCCCATTCCCAGACCGAATCCTTGTTGAATTTTCAGTGACCATCTGATTCCTGGGAAGATGTATTCTGGGAGGGGAAGACGCAGGTCTTTGTCAAAGCCTGGGATGGAGCATGGGAGAGAGGTGAGGGGAGAAATGCAGGGGCAGCCATAGGCTTGGATGGAGGCTTCTCTGTCCTGAAAAACCCTGGAGGAAGAGAAAAACGCTGACCCCGTGTATGAGTGTATTTGGGAACTGGGAGGGGTACGGGCCTGGGGTGCCCTCTGCCTAGAATGAGTAAAGTCCAGAACAGGATCAGGATTGTTTGGACCTGGACCAAGATAGGTCCTGGGAGCTGAAAGGGAGGCTGTGAGGTCAGCACTGAGCTGGAGGCAGACATGGACCAGGAGGCCCCCTGCAGGCTGAGCCTTATTTCTGTAGCTAAAACATTTGCATTGGCAGAGCAAAGTGCCCCTGTTCCTGTTGACTTCATTGGGTCAGTTTGGAGGAGTTGCCTGCAGGCCTTGGAGGACAAGGGTACATAAAAGGCAGTGTTGGGAGCTGTGGAAACATCTGGGGAGGGCACCTAAATATATCTCGTGGTGACGGGGTGCCGTGATGGGCCAGTACAAGCTTGGACAGGGGCAGAGGCAAGCCACTGTCCCCAGCTTCCCCTAGCAGAGAGAATTGCTGCCCCAGAGCCCCTGAGAGCTTCTCTGGAAGGTCTGGAAGACAGAACCCTCCTGGGCAGAAGGAGGCCTGGCCCAGCCCTGACTTGCTAAATGATGAGGCCAGCTCTCTTCTCAGCTGTCGGGGGGTGGGACCAAGTGATGTTGTCGTCACTTCTGGCCCTGATTTCCTTTAATCCCCAATTCTGGCTATAATTGTTTATAATTCCACAGTCCTAGCCCTAAGAGTCTGTAATTACCCTAACATTCTAGAAGTGTACAATTCAAACTCCAACTTTCTACACTCCAGAACTCTAACATTCTCCAATTCTGGGCTCCATCGTTGGAGGATTCTGGCCCTGGCTTTGGCAGTCTGACTCTTGCAAACTTAGAAACTCCCAGGGAAGAGGTCACTTCAGCAGAATCATGTGAGAAGCCCCAGAAAAGGCCTCCTCCCTGCCTAAGCCAGCCTGGAGTGGAAGCAGGTGCCTGGTAAAATAGCCACATGCTCTCTGGGGTGGATGACAGTGAACCCAGAGGCCCCTCCTCAGCAGAGCAGCACAGGTGCTGGGAGTACTTCACAGCTGTCAGCGGAGGGTGGCCCTAGGGGAGAGAAAGGTTCAGATTTTGCATTCTAGGCACCCCTCGGATGAGGGAATTGTGGAGTTACTGGCCACCTTGAAAGGCCATCAAGAGGAAGGAGAGAGAGAACAAGAAATGGAGCTGAAGAGACCTCAAAGGCAAACCTCGTTCTCTCTGAGAGACCTCAGGTTGTAGAAAAGCCTCCTGCAGAGCCAGCAGCTTCATGGATGCACAGCCATGTCTGAACTCAGCATAGGCCGGGGGATGGAGAGCTCCAAAATTCAGTGATTAGCCTGAATTGGGCTGGTGACAAGCAGGACTGGTGGCCGACTGGGCAAGTTGGGGACCATCCTCCCATAGAAACCTTTGCGTCTTTTCTCTGAGTATTCTGGCCAGGACTTGTGTAGGATGGCTGAAGAGGGTGAGCCAGACACACCATCTGTGCTCCTGGGGAAACCTGTTAGCTTCTCTGGGAGGGTCAAAGGAAGGGCTTGGGGATCCAAGGACTCAGCTCTTCCTCTCCCATCTCTTTCCTGGTTCTGAAAGCTCTTTGCAACTTGCTGCTGAGCTAAGCTACAGCCCTATGTATGCTGGCTGGAAGCGGGTGCATGCACGTGAGGGTGCCTGTGTGCCTGCTGTGGGTAGTGTGTTCCCAAGTGTGGCAGATGCCAGGGCACGTGTACTTAAGCATGTGTGAAGCTGTGTGAATTCTGTGGGGCTGTGTCCAGGTCTGCGTGTGCTGTGCATGTGCCAGTACAGAATTGCACCCACGGGCACGTGCTCCTTATAACTCTGCCAGGTCTCTGTGGCCTCTCTGTGTTTTCCTATGATGGATGGCAAACAGCAGACCCTAGACTCTGGACAGAATGAGGGGCTCAGGTTGCCGAGAGGGAAAACCTCTGTGGCTCAGCAAGAGGGCCAAGTCTCTGGCCAGATGTAGTAGCTCACGTTTGTAATCCCAAAACTTTGGGAGGCTGAGGCAAGAGGATTGATTGAGACCAGGAGTTCAACAATAGCCTGTGCAAACTAGAAAGGCCCTGTCTATACAAAAAAATACAAAAATTAGCCAGGCATGGTAGCTCACACTTATAGTCCCAACTACTTGGGAGGCTGAGGAGGGAGGATCATTTGAGCCTAGGAGGTCAAGGCTGCAGTGAGCTATGTGTTTGCACCACTGCACTCCAGTCTGAGTGATGGAGCAAGACCCCATCCGGAAAAAAAAAAAAAAAAAAGGTGTCCAGTCTCCTCCGGTCCAAGAAGACCACCAAGCATGCTTCCTGCAAACCTCTTTAGGATCTGATCTGAATTCCAGAAGGACCATGTCTCCTGCAGACCCGGGGCCAGGCAGCCTCCTGTTTCAGTCAAGAGGGCTCAGGGTAGTGTTTTTCCTCCCGCTGTGGGAGCAGCTAGGAGGCAACGGGTGGTGGCCAGGGATGTGCACAAGACCATTCCTGCCTGCCAGGGGTCTCATCACAGGCTACAGGCCTTCTCAGCCCTTGACTCGTGTGGATTGGAACAGCTCTCCACTCCACAGCTGGGAAAACCAAGGTTCAGGAAGGGATGAGACCCACCCAAGGGAGTAGCCAGTACTGAGCTGTAGTCCAGCTCAGGGCTAGGAATGAAGACCCTAGGACTGAGCTAGCAGTGACGGCGTGGGAGCAGGAACTCCAGGGCTGGGGCGCCAAGGTCAGCCTGGCCAGCTAGTGGTGAGCATCACCCAGCCAGGGCATGTGGGGTGTAAACTGTAAAGCACTTGATTCATTGTACAGGACCCAGGGGGCTTCCTGCTGGTGACGGAGTGCAGGAGGGTGGCTGTGGGGGGGTCAGTGCCCACAGGCAACAGAGGGTCTGCGGGGCTTCAGCCTTGGGCACTCCTGCCCTCCCGGTGAGGAGCCTACTTGCAGCCTGGGCTGAGCTGGGAGAGCCTGCGCCTGAAAGTTACCCCCTAAGGCTTCCTCCTCCTCTTATGTAACTGCTTTTATTCCCGGGGAAAATCAAGAGCCTGGGAACCCCACAAATCTCCCTTGGCATCTGGGACGGTTTGGGATTATGGCAAGGATTTCGGAAACTGGGAAAACAAGGCCTGTGGACTAAGGGTTTGTGGGGCTCCCCAGGAGCGGCATGTGTGGAGCGCCTGCGGAGGCGCGGGCCTGGGAAAACATGTATGTGAACAGATGTACACACCCCAGAGCCACTCACAGAAATACACACGCACGCACTTGGGCACAATCCCAAACACCTGTGCCTTGTGAATGCAGGTGCATTTTCCATCGCAGGCACACGCGTGCCTCCAGGCAGACACTGCACCCAGCATTCACATTCTCCCCCAGCCTGGGGGCCTGATGGGGGATGGTGTCTCTCAAAGCTACCTCAAGGCTACGTCTCTGCCTCCAGGAATAAGCTTTCCCAGCCTTGTCCCTTTCCCGTCTCTTCCCCGACACCTTCTCACCGCAAGGACAGAGGAGGGGCCCTTCCTGTCAGCTGGCTGGGAGCAGAGGTGGTTTTGTCTTTTCGGAAGAACTAGTTCCGTGGAATTTGTGCTGATTTCCCATCAAGGCTCAAGGGCCTGCTTTGGGGCTACCTCAGGGCCCCACAGGGTGAGGGGCTGGTTTTCAGAGTTTTCTGCCTGCCTGTCTTCTGGATAGTGTCTAAAACTTTGCAAAACTGCCTTCCTGACAGTGTCTTGCTCGCTCTTCCTGACACCCCTGAGATGTAAGTGCCTTCACTTCCTCTGTTTGGCAGATGAGGGAACTGAGGCCCAGAGAGGGATGGGACTGTCTGAGGTCACACAGCAAGTTGAGGCAGGATTGACCAAAACTCTCATAAGCTGGGGCTGGAAGGAAAGTGCTTTCAGCTTCCTTGGGCTTAGGGTATGAGGATTTGGCTCCCAGACCCTAGAGGGTGGGGCAGGCTGGCACTACCAGGTGGGCCTCCCACAGGAACACCTCACACTCCTTTACCAAGATCTGACGGGGGGCACAGCCAGCCCCTCACAGGCCAGCACTGTGCTGTGAGGCTCGCCCCTGTACCACCTTCGTGGACATCCCGGGGGAGAGGGCAGAAGGGGGAGCAGGAACACGTCTGCCTTGCTGTGTGACCCAGGCAAGCCCTGACCTTCTCTGGGTCTGGTGCCTTCCCATCTACTGGGATATTGGGACTGGGGATTGGTTGAGGGATGTGCTCCCTCTCTGGACCACAGAGGAGGCAGAGAACTTCCCCAGGGCCAGGAGTGGGGCGCAAGCTCAGGATACTCCCTGCCAAAGCCCTGGTGGGCCTGAGCTGCAGCCTGTACCCAGGGAGTCTGGGCCTTGACCATGGCCTGCTGCTGAGATCCACCAAGACAGGGCCCGGCACAGAGTGGGGGCTCGGGGCCAGGGGGCTGGGAGAGGGGATCTGGCAAATCCAGATGGGGCCTGTCTACCTGTCTGAGGCTACAGCCCCCTGACTCTCTGCCCCTTACCCTCCTTTATGTTTCTCTACAGCTGCTCTTATCACTACCCGACCTGCTATATATTTACTCATTAACCAAAAGAAATGAATCTCCCCTGCTAGAATACAGCTGTCTCAAGGGCAGGACTTTGTTTTTTGACCTCAAGTGCCTTGAACATTACTTGAATAGAATAGGTGTCCAATAAGCACTTGTTACAAAGAAGAGGAGGAGGAGGAAGAGGGAGAATGCATCACCTTACAGTTGGAGAGGGCCCACCATAGGCCTGGCTAGAGCCACCCTGGCTGCCTTCTTCTCATCAAGCCCAAGCTCAAGGATGGATTGGTGCTGGGGAAGGGAGGGTCGTCTGCAGTCAGCCTTTCCCCCAAGATCACCTTCCGTCTTCAGTGCCATCCTCATTCCTGGGTGGGGCTTGTCTGGACCCACAGGGTTGGAGCCACAGACAAGAGAGCCATTAATCTCGGGGTCTCAGCTTCTCTCAGACCTCCAGGCACTGCTGAGAAAACCAGGGTAATGGTTTCCTGCAGCAGCAACAAGCAGGAGCAGGGCCATCTCCAGACTCCACAGAATGGGGAGGATGAGAAAAAGTGGCTACCTGACGCGTGCCTTCCCTGTACCAGGCCCTGGTCCTGAAATGTTATCTCACTGCATCCTCCAGACAGTCCCTGGGGCTAAATGGGTGATGCTGCTTGTTTGGGTGAACAAACAGAGGGTGAATGAAGTGACTTGCTGGCACCTGGGTAGAGGCTGAGGTCAGCGTTGGTGTAAGGGACTTGAGCGTCAGAGTTCTCGGGATTTGAGCCCTGGCCCTGCTGCTTGCCAGCTCTGTGCTGTGGCAACTTACTTCCTCTCCCAGATGTCTCAGTTCCCTCATCTGCTGCCTCTCCAGACTTCTGCCAGACATCGCATGCGGCAGTTTCAGGCACAGAAACTTTCTGGCAGCAGGCGCTGCTCCACGAGCGGGAATTTGTACCAGCACTTCACAAACTGCAACTGAGGCACTCGCTAACTCCTGGGTGAGTTTTCTGGGTCCCTGCCTGGGAGGGCCTGCGCCCCTCAGCTCCCCTAGGAGCTTCCTGAGCACATGCAGTCCACTTGCAGCCCCCAAGGCTCATCGCAGGCAAGAGTGGCAGGGGGGCAGGCCCTGGGGTCCTCCTCCTTCCTCTGCCTGGCTGTGCCTGGAGCCTGCAGACTGCACAGCGTGGAGGGGTGAGACATGCAGGACGGGAGGGGAGGACACGGACACATTGGTGCTGCGCCGCGCCTTGCTGGAGAAGTGGAATAGCTCAGGCAGGATTCGGAGCCACAGAGGTCTGGGTGTGAATCCAAGTGGCTGGCAAAAACACTTTGCCTCTCTGGGCCTCAATTTCTTACTCTTTAAAATGGGGGCAACAGTGGTCTCCCCCTGCGTATGTGGAAACTGCTAAGTATAGTATGCTGATGAGGGACCCTCATGGAGAGGCTGGCCCTGCCCTCAGAACTCCCCAGAAACTTTGGTTGAGGGAGTGAGTAGAAAGGATTAGTGACCGAATAACTGTCCACAGAGGAGGCCCTTGGGAAACCTCTCACCTCTGCCATCCCAGCTAAATCTTAGGGCAGCCAGGAGCTGGCCCCACGAGAGTGGTGGGGAGAATGAGTCCCTGAGTCCAAGTGTGACTTGTTAAGGGTGAAAGGGCATATCTGGGGGAGCTGTGTTAAAACTTTTCTGGAGTTTCTATTGCCATTTGGCTCCGCTGATATCAACACAGAGGAAACAGGCAGCACAGCCCCTGCATTCAGCCCCCGCCTCTTGAAGATATTTGGGACTCCCATCTCTTGCCAGCTCTAGAATGGGTCAGATTCAGGGAAACTCTCCACCCCTCAGTATCAATGAGATGAAAAATGAGAAGGCCCTTTGCAAACTCTAAAGTGTTGTGCCCAGAAGGTACATCTGTGTGTGTGCCAAGCCCCTGGGTGTGTACAGGAGAGCGAGAATGTCCAGCTTCCAGCGTATGTGCGTGTGGATGCCTGGCTGGGTGGGGGAACTCTACGCCACCCTCGACTCCCTGTGTGGCTGGGGCTCTTCTAAAATTCTTACAATCTTTTTTTGCATTTCCTCACTGTTTGTCAGTTTATCAGAAAGGAAGGGGGCCATGGTCCGGAAACCTGGCAATTGTCTCTGAGCCTGCCAACTCTTCTGTCCTGCCCTTGCCTTATCCTGTGGCTGTCTCTGGAGGCCTGATTGCCGGGAGCTCCCAGCATGGCCCGTTCTGCAGGGTCAGAAGCTTGCCTGGCTCCTCTGCGCAGCCTACCCGCCACCTGTTTTTCCATCTGTGGCTATGCACTGGCTGCTTTCACACCACTGTCCCACTGACTCTTTTTATTTTTAGATTTAATGTTTTTAAAGATAGAGTCTTGCTGTGTCACCCAAGCTGGAGTGCAGTGGCACCATTATTGCTTACCGTAACCTTGAACTCCTGGGCATAAGCAATCCTGCTGCCTCAACCTCCCAAGTATCTGGGACTACAGGCACTCGCCACATGCTCAGCTAATTTTTAAAATATTTTGTAGAGATAGGGTTTTGCTATGTCACCCAGGCTGGTCTTAAACTGCTGGCCTCAAGTGCCGCTGATTCTTTGTAACATCCCAATACTCTCCAGAAATGCTATTTATTGTTCCCATTTTACAGGCAAGGAAATGAAGGCTTGTTGAAGGGAAATGGCTCTCCTAGAGTTATCCAGCCAACTGGTGGCAATGCTGGGGTTTCAATTCTTACCTAACTCCAAAAACTTTATTAACTGTTGTGGCTTACCTAGTGGGTATGTGTTGGCTGTTTGGCTGAATGAATAAATAAATGAAATAACAGATGAATCAATCATTCTGTCAAAATTGAGCTGAAAGAGAAAGTTAAGCAATAATAGCAATGTCTGTCATTGATTGAGCAACTACAATGTGTCAAGTGTTTCATGCAAAAATGAAAGCATCAGGAGGCTGAGGCAGGAAAATGGCTTGAACCCGGGAGGTGGAGACTGCAGTGAGCCGACACTTGGTCTCAAGAAAGAGAGAGAGGGAGGGAGGGAGGGAGGGAGGAAGGAAGGAAGGAAGGAAGGAAGGAAGGAAGGAAGGAAGGAAGGAAGGAAAGAAGGAAGGAAGGAAAGAGAAAGAAAGCTGTCAGGATTATTGTTATTCCTATTTTGCAGTAGAGAAAGCTGAGGCCTCAGAGAAGTTAAAAGATCACATCCGGTGTGGGAGCTGGAACTATAATTCGTCAGTGTGCAGACCCAGAGCTCTGAACCTAGCTTTCCTGGTTCCTTTGCATGAGAGTGAGTCGGCAGAGCCTGGCAATAGGTGCCCATTACAGCAGAGGAACCAGGGCCAGTTGAGACTCTCAGGAAGTTGGGTGCAACAGCCCACCCTGCCCACTCCTGCCTCGGGGCCGTTTCCTCATTTTTCTCTGAAATGGGTTTCTGTTTCAGTCTGGGGTGGGCATCTGGCAGCCCAGGCTCTGACTCTCCCTCTCTGACTGCTGACTTGTATAGTTAGGGCCAATGCCCTGGCATGGTGTGATATATTGCCGCTTCCCCATTCCCAAGGTTGGCCATGTCATTAATAGCTCCATGGGAGGGCAGGGCCTGCACAAGACGAAGTCATTGATCTATGGAGATGGTGTAGGCTGAGTCAGTGGCTTCTGTGCCCAGCCCTGTGTGGATGCCAGGAACCCAGGGGCTAATGGGTCCAGCTCTCCCCTTAGGAACTCGTGGGCTGGGAACTGAGCCCCAGGAAGATGAACTCTGCAGTAGCTGAGACAGAGTCTGGTGTCCTGACTCCCAAGGCAGTCAGTCCCAGCTGGTTTTCATGGCCTGGGACAGAGTAGGGGCTGTCCTGTGGTACCAGAAGGCAGATCTCAACTCAGAGTGAGGGATAACCTTGTTTCTGTCATACCAGAGGGATGGGAACCAGCCTTTTAAATCAGCCCACAGTTCCTGAGTGTCCTGTCTCTTCTATTGAGGGACAGGGACACAGCAGGGAGAGACTCTGCACAGGAGGAGAGCCCATTGTCTGAGGGAGGAGACATTCCCTTGGGCAGTGGATAATCTGATGGTTGAGGCAAGAGACAGACTTGGAAGTGTTAGAACCTATCACACTTGACAACAGCTTCGTTCTTCATGCCCTCGCATGATGCCCTCCTGAGGAGAACACGCCTCCATAGCATAGAGGGAAAATAGAGGCACAGAGAGGCCAATGTCTGGCATAGAAATGTCTCTGTTGCAAAAAGTTGCTGGAGTAAAGCAGATAATAGATTAAAAACTAAACAGTCGGCTGGGCGCGGTGGCTCACACCTGTAATCCTAGCACTTTGGGAGGCCAAGGCAGGTAGATCACAAGGTCAATAGTTCAAGATCAACCTGGCCAACATGGTGAAACTCCATCTCTACTAAAAATACAAAAACTAGCCAGACGTGGTGGTGTGTACCTGTAATCCCAGCTACTTGGAAGGCTGAGGCAAGAGAATCACTTGAACCCGGGAGGCAAAGTTTGCAGTGAGCCAAGATCATGCCACTGCACTCCATCCTGGGCAAGAGTGAAACTCCATCTCTAAAAAAAAAAAAAAAAAAAAAAAAAAAAAAAAAAAAAAAAAACCACACACACACAAACAAAAAATAACAACAACAAAAAAAACTAAACAGTCCCCAGCCTAGGTCTCCTCCCAGACTAGAAATCTCCTTTCTGACTCTTACATTCATTGGTGAGATTCACTGAGGACTTGCTATGTGCCAGGTCCACTCAGGGGCTTTATTATAGATTTATCTTATAATAACAGCAACACCAACAGCAGTTAATATTATAACTCACATAAAATAAATGGGGAAACTGAGACTCAAGAGAGTTAAATAACTTGCTCCAGCTCATATAACTAGTAGAAGCAGAGGGGTTCAAACCTGGGACTATCTGTCCCTGAAACTCATGGCTCTCCCGCTCCATGGGGTTCTTGTTCACAAGATGTCAGGCCCCAGAGCATATCATTAAATGGTAAAATGTGAGTGATAACATAAAAACAAGGAGCAATTAGGGAAACACAAATCAAAACCACAATATGATACCAGTTTACACCCACCAAAATGGCTACAATGAAAAAGACAGACAGTAACAAGTGTTGTGGAGGATGTGAAGAAACTGGAGCTCGCATATACTGCTAGTTGTTAAAATGCATGCTTTGAATGAAGAGACCCCCCAAACAGGCTTTGTGTGAGCAACGTGGCTGTTTATTCACCTGGGTGCAGGTGGGCTGAGGCCAAAAAGCACGTTAGCGAAAGACAGTGGGATAGGAGTTGGTTTTATAGGTTGGGGCAAATCTCTTGGGTGTCATGGAGTAAGATCAGTTACAGTTGTGGGGGTAGGGGCAAGGAGTATACATTACCATAAGTTCATTTACAGTGGCGGGTGGAGTATAGCATAAGAGTAGTTAAGATGGTACAGTGGATATTCACAAAGCAAGAACAGTTAAGATGGTGGGGCGGGGGGGCGGTGAGGAGTATATCATAATCCACATTATGTTAACGTGGATACATTATCATAAGAACTGTTAAGATGGCAGGGTTAAGATGGCAGGGTGGGGTGAAGGGAAGCTTAATGATGGTGGGGACGGGAAGCTCTGCTGGGCGATCAGGGGTAATGGCGAATGCAGGGTTGTGGGTGGTAATCAGCCAAGGCTGGCGGGACTTTAGACTTTCTGGGTCCGGCCTTGCACATGGAGGCCTGACACTAGTGAGAATGAGAAATGATATAGCCATTGTGGAGTGCAGTTAGGCAGCACCTCAAAAAGTTAAACATAGAGTTACCAAATGATCACCTAGTTCCATTCCAACGTGTATACACAAGAAAATTTAAAACACAAAAACTTCTATACAAATGTTTATACAGCATTATTCATAATAGCCAAAAAGTGGGAATACCATCAGTGGATGAACAGATAAACAATTATGTGGTCTATCCATACAATGGAATATTATTCAGCCATCAAAATGAAATTTTGATTC